ACACAAGCGATTTTATACTGGTTCGGGAACTCCCTACTCCAGTACCTCGAGGCTCCTCCTCAAGGATTTAACCTCCACTAACTTGTTTGGCTTCACTAAGAAGACTCAAACGAGGTTTGGCAAACAACCCTTGCCAATAAGCAAACGAGATTTTACTACGGCTATCTCAACTGTTTACAACCGAAGATTTTAAGGCTATCTTCAACCTTACAATGAGGATTTAAAGGCTATCCACACCTTTTACAAATCAATAAAAGATTGGTGTTGCTTCTCTACCAAAATAATAACAAATATGAATTGGGTAGGAGAAGAACAAAAGATTAAATCAACAACAACAAAAGCCTATAGGCAAGATATAAAATAATGAAGCACATATGCCCTTGTGTGTGAGTGTATAAAAAGATGAAAGCTTTTTTTTTCAAAGGAGTAAGAAAAATAAGAACAAAGCTTTAAGAACACTCAAGAATTAGATAAAGAGGCTTTAGATTTAATTGAGAAGTTGTTGTGCCTAAAATGAGACTTAGAGGGGGTTTATATAGGAGTTTGGAATGTTAAAATTTGAGTTTTTAACGTTAAATGCCGTTAGGAAGTGATTAGGGGTGATTTAAATTTAAATTGGTAATTTGCTACAGTGCTGCCAACGGATCCGGTACCCTTCACGGTAGAGTCAGTACCGTCCGGTACCTAGGTACCGTGAAACACGGTACAGCCTACCGTTAGGGGGTACCTTGTAAGCCATATAATTGGTTCGGCTCTGGCGATATCTGGGTTCAAATGGTCTGGCCAACCTTCCCAAGCCTACCGACGGTACCCAGGTACCGTTGTCACGGTAGGGGGGTACCGTGTACCACCCAGGTGAAACATACAACGGTACGTTCACTTGGCTACCGGCGGTACCCTGGTGCCGTGTACACGGTAGCCAGGTACCGTTAGACCTGTGTAAAAAACCAAAACTCGTTTTTCGTGTTCCGTTTTCAATATAACCCCAACTAAGAGTATATTTGTTATTTTAAAATTAAATTTTGAGTGAAAGGGCATAAGTAACTCATTAAAATATATTATTACCTTTACACAACAATTTCTAAACTCGTAGGAGTATATCTCGGTGATGCTAAACAAGCTAATAGAGGTTTTGGCGTTTGGTTTAATCCTGTAAATGATGTTAGTAGCATTGGAAGACTTATTTGGCACATCAAAATGGTTACGGGGTACGGCATTCAAGGCCAACAAAACAATTTGAATCCGACCAAGTGGAACACAGATCTATACTACCCTTGCCTCTAATCAAAGTGATGGTACCGGAATCACTGTGTGCTTAGTCTCAAGAGTCAGATTCGTCTCAAGGTCTTCCAACAGCAGTGGATCTAAATCTTTTTTTTTCTAAATATGAAATGTGTTCGTTTTATAAGTATTACATGGTTTCCCCTTTTTTTTCATTTTATGTCTAAATTAAAAAAAAACAGATTGATTAACAATTTTTTAGGGGCAGTTTGATTCACAATTTTAAAAAAGATGAATAAATTAAAGAATGGAAATTTCTAATTTTAATTTTTAAAAATCAATGAAGTAAAAATTTGGCACCATTGAAACATAATCATGTCTCTGTATAGTTTCTTTCCTTTTAATTTCCCTTAGCCCAAAAGGGCATTTTAGTCTACTTCCACCCTCTTATCCCACTTCTTGGTATTTGTGCCAAAAGGTAAGTGGACAAAAAGAGTGGGACGGAGGGAGTACTAAGCATTACCCACGAATAAATAATATTAAATAATAGAAAATTGGGTTATGGAAGTAAAAATAGAGTAAATGAATCCATGAATCAGTAGATTAAAAATATTTATATTCAAAATACATATATCTGATATGAATTCGAGTGGAAAATTGGTAAAACTACAACAAAAGCATACACATGCATGAATATGTAAAGGAAACAATTGATCACGGGAAATCAATTATTGGTCGAATATAAAGAAATTGAATAGAGAATATGAAAAATTAGGGTGTGTGTACCTAAAGTCCTAAACGAAAACCTAGAAATAAGTTGAGGAAGATGATATGAGAACTTTGAAGGAAAATCCGGATCAGTTGCTTCCATATTGAATTTCATGCAATGATTTTGGGAGAAACATATACATCGATGGAGCGAGAAATAGATTTCTTGGGAAAATACAATTTTACCCATTACAAGATCTATAAGTGAGACCATCAGAGGCTCTGATCCGAGAGTGTACATCCATTGTTATTTCTTTCATTAAATCTCATTCTTACCGCACTACAAGAGAATTGGTATTTCGCCACACTTAAAATTGTTGTTCGCCGCACATATAAGTGTGGGGGAGACTATTTGCCGCACATGAGGTAAGTGTGGCGGGTGATACTGTGGAGAAAATTTCGCCACACTTGTAATAAGTGCGGCTAATAAATACATAGGCCACACTTATATGTGTGGCTAATGTTTTATTTTGCCACATTTATACATGTTTTTAAAACACCACACATACAAAATACCATCATTTTTTAATATTTAAAATTCATAAAAAAGCCTATGTGGGACTCGAACCCACGCCTTCATGTACTTTTGCACACGACGCTCTACCATTGAGCTAATAGGCTAAGAAAATAGCTCAAATAGTAAAACAATGTCAAAACTTTATACAAATAATTGGTACTTCTGGATCATCTCATCAAATTGATAAAAATTACACATCTTTTTTTTATGAAAATGATAATAAGAAGACACCTACCTCTAGAAAAGAGCAGCGACACTGGTACTCTGGTAATTGAACTCCTTGTGAGCATGCTTAATCTGCTCCTGAAGATTAAAATTGATTCTCTTTATGCCAAATTGAATAACATATCACGACTTTTTTAAAAAAAGAATACCATATCACAAGTAGAAGTTAACCTTTCTATCACAAGAATACCATATCACAAGTCTTGAAAACCATTAAGTGAAGCAAAGCTTGTTGATGAGTCAGATGCCAAAACCTGTCTCTAAAATTTAACAAGAAGCTTAGCTTTGTTGAGGGTTGTATTGGTCAGAAATGGCTATAGCTTCAACCCCTCTTCACCACTTCCCCGACCTTCCTGATTCACTCCCAAAAGGTTGCTTGTAATTTTCTATTTAGTCAACCTACAAATAAAAATACATTAGAGATTCAACGAGAGTATTTCAACCAGTGATGTTTCGGTTCTGTTTTTTTCTAATCCTATTCTTATTATTATGTCCCATAATCACAACACAAAAGAACTAGACCCAAGCTTTAAATACCCACAACAAAGAGGGCAGCAAGCACAACAAGAAAATATCAACACAAGCACCAACAAATTTCAAGTTATAGGCCACCAAACTGAAGAATTACTGGACATCCCTAGATGTACTATAAAAAACCAAATCCAAGGCTGCAAGCCTGCAATAATGGACAACCATCATTTAACTGAGCAATCAAAGTGTTTCACATTAGGAAACAATAATTTAAAGCCAAAGCCAAAGCCAAAAACCAGCAGTGGCCAAATAGAGTACTCATTCCTAATCTAGATCAAACTTAAAGCTTGAAAAAGAATCAAGCACAATGCTAAACAACACTAAAATCTGCCAAAAAATAGATACTGGAAGCGAACGCGGTATGAAAATGGAAACGAATGCCATTTTCAAAACAAAAAAAACTAAATCTGAGACAGCAAACTGCAAGACCCAGAATGTACATCTCCACACAAACAGAAAACATCCTAGAGCGTAAGCCAACTCGTAAGGAACAAGTAAGAGTGAACAAGTCCTAGGAATTTTGTTTTATAGCTTATAAAATTGATAATCAACGGTCCTAAAAAACTAAGATAAGTCGTAACAGATTGAAACACAATTTGGCCTATTAGCTTAACACTAAATCCTCAAGTCAATTACAAATTAAAATTTCTAATATATATAAAATTGTCCTGTCTCACAGGACAATAGGGACCCTCATGGAACATAGGGACCCTAACAGGTAAGTCTATTGAGTTGGTGCAAGTTTTCAAGAGGAGAAGGATTCAGGTGGCGTGTGTGCAAGAAACCAAGTGGGTGGGCACGAAGGCGCGAGAGGTTGATGGCTTCAAACTGTGGTATTCAGGTTCGACTAGGGGAAGGAATGGACAGTGGCGGATCCAGGATTGTGAATGACTGGGGGCAGTATAGCAAAGCGGGGGTTCGGGGGCAGAGCCCCCGTTTTTTTTTTAAAATGTACTTTATATCATGATGAAAAAATTAATTTTATATCAAACAAATTTAAAATAAGAAAAACAAAATATTTTAAAATTAGTAAAATTATACTCCATCCGTCCCAATTTAATTTATAGCGCCTGTTTCAGTTTACGATGTTTGACTGAAAATCATGGCCACACGGTTGACACGGTCCTCTAATCAAATATTTTCTTCTTATTTCATTTCTTTGATTAGGGTGATACTCTAAAATCTTTTTTCTGTCTGAAGGATCTCACGGAAGATCACTTAAATCTATTTCTTTAACTATTGAAGGTACAAATGGTCCAGAATCATGTGTTGTCGGTGTTGAGGGGGACTTCCATTTAAAAAACTTCTCCATTATCTAAAAACATAAAATGAAATATACTTTTTTACTAAATCTATGTCCAAAAATTAGAGAAAATTATTTAAATATTTCAATTGAGAATTAATATATTTTTAGAGACTAGAGTCATCAATTCATATGTTTTGGGACAATTATAAATTATAATTAATAATAATCAAGAATTCAACATTAGAAACAATTTCATCAAATAGAAAATTGAAATATAAAAACAAATTATTCAAAAGGTTTCACAAATTACACATAAATCTAATTTTCAGATTTACCTAATTATTTAGTTCACAATTTAAAAAAGGAGACAAAATTATTTGGAAATACCTGGTGCCTGGTAGCTGGTGCTCGACTGCTCGGTGCTGCTCGGCGGCGACGCGGCGGACGGGCGACGGCGACACGGCGGATTGTTCAGGCTGTTCGGCAATCAGCAGAATCGGTCTTCAATTGCTCCGCTCCTCTTCTCGATTTCTCCAAAAGCAAAGGGAAGGGGGGAAATTTTTTTTAATTTTTGGGAATTTTGATTGGGCTAATTTTGGATGGGTCTCTAGCCTATTTAATTGTTTTGGGCCAGTGGGGGCAGATTTTTTTTTTAATTGGGGGCAATTATATATAACATTAAAAATATACATATATATATATATATTAAAAAAAAAATTCACTGGGGGCAGCTGCCCCCATATGCAATGTTGTAGATCCGCCCCTGGGAATGGAGTCGGTATTCTGGTGGCACCGGAGCTACGAGGGTTTGTGGTGGAGGTGAAGAGGATTAATGATCGTCTAATGTTTATCAAGTTGGTTTTGGATGGGTGTGCAATCAATGTCGTGAGTGCTTACGCCCCGCATGTTGGCTTGGCAAACGTTGTTAAGAGGGAGTTTTGGGACGCCTTGGATGGGGTGGTTGTTGGCTTTCCACTGACTGAGAAAGTCATCATTGGAGGCGACTTCAATGGCCATATTGGAGACTCGGCCGAGGGCTTCGAGGACGTGCACGGTGGTTTTGGCTATGGCAGCAGGAACCCAGCGGGAGTTTCACTCTTGGAGTTTGCCAGAGCAAGTGATATGGTGGTTGCTAACTCTTGTTTCCCAAAACGAGACGTTCATTTGGCTACATTTGTTAGTGGAGTGGGGACGACTCAGATCGACTATCTTCTCCTGCGCAGGTGTGATCGGGTGCTCTGCAAGGATGCTAAAGTAGTCCCGAGTGAAAACATCACTACCCAACACAAGCTTCTGGTGATGGATGTCA